TTTTTGTAGGGACTGAGTTTCACCATGTTGCCCTGGCTGGTCCCAAACCTCTGGGCTCAAGTGATCCACCAGCCTTGGCCTCCCAAAGTTCTGGGGTTATAGGCATGAGCCACCTCGCCCTGCTCAAATACTTTCTCTGCATCAACTGATGTGATCATGTGGTTTTTGTCTTTTATTTTGACCAGGTGATGTATTACAGTAATTGTCTTTTGTATGTTGAATTTTACATTTTTATGTTGAAGTTGACCCTTGTATTCGTATTTCAGGTATAAATCCAACTTGGTTATGGTGTCATATCCTTTTAATGTGCTACCAAATTTGATTTGTTAGTATTTCATTGAGGATAATATTTGTCAAGGATATTGCTTTTAGTTTTTTTGTTTGTTTGTTTTTGTTTTTTTTTTTCCTTTGGTGTCCTTGTCTGGCTTTTTATCCGTGTAATGCTGGCCTCATAAAATGATTTGGAAAGTGATCCCTCCTCTTCAGCTTTTGGGAAAGGTTTGAGAAGAATGGCTACTATTTTTTTTTCAAATTTCTAGTAACATAAGTAGAGCCATCTAGTCCTAGGCTTTCTGTTGTTAGGAAGTTTTTGATTACTAATATAATGTTTTACTAGTTTAATTCTGTTTAGATTTTCTTTTTCTTCATGATTTAGTCATGGTAGGTTTTATGACTTTAGGGATTTATTTATTCCTTCTTGATTATCCAATTTTTGATATGTAATTATTCGTAATAGTCTTATAATTATTTTTATATTTGTTATATCAGTTGTAATGTCTCCTTATTCCTTTCTTATTTTGTTTTAATCTTTTTTCTTAGCCTAAATTAAAGTTTCTCAATTTCTTCTCTAATCATCATATTTTTTTCTTTGCTAACTTTGGCCTTTGTTTTTCTTATTATAGTTTCTTGAGGTGTAAACTTGTTTAAGGTTATTCTTTTTTTTAACTGCTATAATTATGTAAATTTTATTAGTGTTTATTGAGAGTAAAAATGCACCAGATGCTGCTAGCTACCATAAACTAACCTCTAATTGTAGGATATAGGAATACAATTTACTCTGCCATTATCACTACAAACTTCCCCCTTAACGCTACTCTTTCTGCATCTCATGATTTTGGAATATCATATTTTAAATCTTGTTTGCCTCAAAATATTTTCTAATTTCCCTTTTTATTTATTTGACCAATTAGTTGTTCAAAAGTATGTTGTTTAATATCCATACTTTTATAAATTTTCTAATTTTGATTGTGCTGTTGATTTTTAGTTTTATTCCATTGTGGTTAGAAAAGTTAATTGGTATGATGTTAATCTTAAATTTCTTAAGAAATTATTTTGTGGCCTATAATGTGACCTATTGGAAAATGTTCCATTTCTGCCTAAGAAGAATATGTATACTGCTGTTATTGAATAAAGTGTTCTCTAGATGTCTTTCAAGTTAGGTGTTCAAATTCTCTGTTTCCTCATTAATATTCTCTCTGGTCGTTCTGTTTCTAACCGAAGATATGATATTAAGGTCTCTTATTATTACATCAGTCTATGATTGAGTGCCTATTGCACTACACCATTTTATTAAAAAGACTTAGAAATTCTTGAATTTTGGTTTCTTGTCCTTGAGTCAATTCTCTGTCTCTTGCAGACACCAAGAGATAACCCTATTATGTTTCTTGATATTTCTCCCTTCAATTCTGTCCATGTTTTCTTTATATATTTAGAATATGCAAGGATGGATGCGTATATGTTTATAATCATTATACCTTCCTGGTGAATTAACCCTTAAAAATTATTTTACAATTTCCTTTATTGCCTCTTCAGTTTTAACTTAAAGTTTTCTTTAAGATATATATGTGTATATACAAACATATATATATATATATATATTCTGTTACCTTTTGTGTTGAATGACTTTTTCCAACCCTTCACTTTAGCCTATGTCTGTTATTTAATCTAAAGTGTGTCTTTCACAGAGAGTATGTAGTTGTATCTTGTTCTATCCATTCAACTATTCTATATCTTTTGCTTAGAGAGAATAATCTATTTATATTTAAAGTAATTATTGATAGAGAAGAATTATCTATTGTGATTTTGTTAATTGTATGTTTGCTGTTTGTCTTCTAGCATCATTGTCTCTTTTTTTCCTCTTGCTTTTTTTCTTCATAATTTGTTGAATTTTTCGTATTGATATGCTTTGGTTATTTGCTTTTTTATCTTTTGTAATCTCTATACATTGCTTTTGTGGCTACCATGGGACTTATATGACATATAACCATCTATTTTAAGTTGATAATAACTTCAATTGTATATAAAATATGTACACTTACAATCTCCCACAAACTTTATATTAATAAAGTCACAGACTACATCTATTTACATTGTGTATCCATTAATCTAGTTTTAGACAGACCCTATTTTAGTGTTTTTGTATTTTAACTTTTATACTAGAATTTAACCACCACCAATACAAAAATATGGTATTTGTACATGTATTTACCTTTACCAATGAATTTTACACTTTGTAAGCCATTATATTGCTATTTGGTATTCTTTTATTTCAACCTGAAGAATTCATTGTAGTTTTTGTTGTAGGGCAGGTCTAACGGTGATGAACTCCCTTGGCTTTTGCTTGTCTGGGAAAGTAACCATTCTTCAGTTTTGAAAGATAGTTTTTAGGCCAGTTTTGAAACATAGCTTTTAGGCCATGCCTGCAATTCCAGCACTTCAGGAGGCCAAAGCAGGTGAATCACTTGAGCAAGTGTTTAAGACCAGACTGGGCAACATGACAAAACTCCATCTCTACAAAAATAAAAAAAAAAATTAGCTAGGCGTGGTGGCATGTGCCTATAGTTCCAACTACTTAGGAAGCTGAAGTGGGAGGATCTCTTAAACTTGGGAGGTCGAGGCTACAGTGAGCCATGATAATGCTACTGCATTCCAGCCTGTGGGTCAGAGTGAGACCTTGTCTCAAATAAAAAGTAATTTTTAATGGATATAATATTCTTGGTTGCCAAGGTTTATTATTTTTCCTTTCAACAAAAAGAAATGGAATCATATGATTTACTTCTCATCTGAAATATCAGAAACTGGAAAAAAATTTGATATTCTAATGAAAGCTTCCTTGCACATAACAAGTTCCTTAATGCTGTTCCTTTTAAATCTCCTTATCTTTGAGTTTTGACAATTTGATTATATGTTTCTTGGTGTAGATTTCTTTTAATTCATCTTATTTGTACATGACAAGTTCCTTTCTGTTGTTTCTTTTAAAATTCCTTATTTTTGAGTTTTGACAATTTGATTTTGTGTTTCTTGGTGTAGATTTCTTTTAATTCATCTTATTTGAAACTCCTTACATTTCTTGGATCTGAATGTTCATTTCTTTCCCCAGATTCTGGAAGTTTTCAGCTATTAATTTTTTGAGTAAACATCGTCTCTTTTTCGTCTATCTGAAACTCCCATAGTGTGCATACTAGTCCTCATGATGGTGTTCCATAAGTCCTTTATGGTTTATTCATTCTTTTTCTTTTCTCCCTCTGACTGGATAATTTCAAATGCTCTTATGACATTTTATGTTCAACTCTTCATGGCCTGGTGTTCTACATTTAGTCAATCTAACCATGGCTTCTGGTGGCCTCTAAAATCTTCATGGATATCTTTCTCTTAGGAGACCCTGTGGATCTGGAGTATGCACGATCCAATCAGTATTTTTAAACAGTTAAAACATAAACCAGTCCTTGGTAAACTCCCAAAAAGTTTGAACATTTGATATGCACTAAGGTAGGGGCAAGAGCTGTAGTGAGTGCCCATGTACTAGTTCAAACTGTTACCTTTGTTCATTGTAGCCCTGTTAGTTTTTGAGATAGATAAGATTTTAAAAAACCATTCTTTTGTGTGGCACCTGAAAAAGTTGAAATATTGAATGTATAGTTCATCTTTTCCTCTCCTCAGGCATAAGCTTGGAGGTGGATTTTGTTCCTCACATAGTCACTCTATGTTGAGCCGGGGGGAAGAGCTGTGGCATGTGTCTGTACACTAGTTCAAAATGTTAGTTCTTCCTGTTTGTATGGTACTGTAATGAGAAGGGGGATGCAAAAATGGTGTCTCAAATTTTCTTGCTTGCTTTAATGCAGCTGAGTTTGTACTTGCCTCAAGTACAGGAGCTTCTCAGCTAGTTGCTGGATTTCTCACAAATACTGATCTGTGTCTTACTGCTGAATCATTGTGTTCATGGAGGGAAAAAATAAAGTCCATTGGTTCCTATTCTTCTATCTTATTTATATGTCTTTTATGCTTTCTTATTATTTATGCTATTTGTTTTATACCAACTAAATTAGCTCTCTGACACTTAAGATATCACATTTACATATTACTTTTATGCATGCTTTAAAGGAAATGTAGTTGAAATAAAATGGTTACATTATCCCTAGCATTAGGAATATCACTCTTCTGGGTTAATTTTAAATTCAGGTTTTGATTGTTTGTATTTTTTTTTTATCCTCTGTATTGTCAATAGAATTGAAAATGCATGTTCTTGGGGACAGCAGGGAGAAGCCCCCTTAATGGCTCTAGGGATTTCTCACAAACTGCTTAAATTTTATTGCTGGTGCTTTCTTGACTTCATCAGATGGTGCTAATGAATATTTTCAGACACCAGTGCGATTTCATGTTTTTTTCACTAATCGTTATTTAATATCCTATAGGTTTAAATGTCCAGTGATAAAAGTTACCCAGTAATGTAATCAGAAAAGTGCACACAAGCTCAGGCAATGACAGCAATGGCATATCTGATTCCTAAACAATACAAATTGCAAGATGTCATCAAATGTTTGCCTTGTCCTGGTTTCAGAGATGATACAATATAAAAAGAAGAAAAAGTTTTAAAGTGTCTTAGAAATGATACATACTTTACTTCTTTATCTATAGAGGACAATAATCATTATCATTATTTCCCAGAACAGATCCTACTTCAAAATTATTTTTGACTGGCTTCTTCTAATTATTTACTCTAGGCACGATCAGGATAACTCCTAAGGACTCTCGTTGGGTTGGAGCTTGGTGGCTTGGCTTCCTTGTGTCTGGATTGTTATCCATTATTTCTTCCATACCATTCTTTTTCTTGCCCCAAAATCCAAATAAACCACAAAAAGGAAGGCAAGACTTAGTATTTGTGCATGTCCTGAAAACAAATGAAGAAAGAAATCAAACACCTAATTTGCCCAACCGAGGAAAAAATGTTACTGAAAATGTGACTGGTGAGTATTTTATATTCATATTCAACTTGGAATTATTAATCTCAATGAAAGGGAGGAGTATTCCAAAATAAAAATTATACCCAAATTATCTGGAGTTAGCTATCTTCTGCACAAAATTTAGCTGAATTAGTTTTCTAAAACTGCTATTAAAGTTAGTAAACATTTAACACATAACAAACAGAGGAGGATTAAATTTGTAATGTTTAGCAGGGAGAAACCAATCCAAAGCTAAAAGCATCTGTTTCTTAAAAGCCAAAGAGTACATATTTATTTCAATATTATATTTTGTAAACTAGAGTTAAAGGGATTATAATATTTTGTTCATTCATTTATTCAACAAGTAATACCAAGCACCCTGCTATGTCCTGGTAATAGAACATTGCCTCTATTTTTCAAGATACTGAGAAGTATATAGTCAATTGCAATTAAGTGCCTTAAGTACTATGGTAAGGTGAAATTTAATTTTCAAAATTGAAGGAGAAGCAACAGAAGTAGTTAAATTATGCTTTATCTTTTGATAGTGCCTTCTCTTTCAAATGTAAGCCATGGGGGCTAATGGAGAATCATTGGAATGATCGGGCAACAACCAGAACAAGATATTTGAAACAGTAACATGTTGACATCAGTTTTTAGACTGGGAAGAAGTGTGAAATAGTGAAAGCCAAAGCAGTGCAAGATCTAAACTCTTGACATCTTTTTCAAGTTTTCATTAATGTTACAAATTTTCCAGTGTAGCCCAAGTTCTTCCTCTCATCAGCTCTTTATTATTATTTTCCCCTTTCCCTCTTGCTAAGCAAAGAACAATGGTGTTCTAGAACCCTTTTTATTGACTAAGGAGAGAAGATTGTTCACTTTCAGCTACTTTAGGAACTTGTAACTGTCCATGATAGGAGAATTTATTATCACCATTTACCACCGTGGAAAATTGGGACATACTAGAAATCAGGGATTGTTTCTCCAAGAATCTGTTGCTGAACATTTACCAACAGATGACTAAGCTAACAGTTTTGAAATTTAACATGCACACTAAAAAATAACATACCAAGAAATTTCCATTTTGTCTGTGCTATATCTTCATTCTATCAAATCAAATCCATAAAAATTAATGGATTATCTAAACCTAGAAGGAGCAGGTTTAACTGTGAGCCCCAAACAAAGAGGCTAATGGAGATGCAAAAATAAGACAATTGTAAACGTTATCTAGATTATCAATTATTTTGTAGGGTAATCACCTGAATAGTAAATAATACCTTAATTATGTGCCTGTTGTGAATGGATAATTAAGAACATATATTCAGAAGAAAAATACTGTGTATGTTCTGTATGTGCTTGAGCAGAACTAAGATTAATGGGTTTTAAATAAAGGGAGAGTTCAGTTTATTATAAAAATAATATGTAAACCAAGAACTATTCAAAAGTGGAGGGATGCTTTCTTGGTTATTCAGCTTAATGTTGCCTGTGTTGCTTTTAATTCATGTATTAAGGATATATAATGGATCATGTTTGCATAGAATTTCAGACTCAATGACATCCAAATTCCCCTCCACCTCAAAGATTCAATGATTTAGTGTAAAGGACATTAGCTGGGTGTGGTGATGCATTCCTGTAGTCCCTGCTACTTGAAAAGCTGAGGAGAAAGGATCTCTTGAGCCCAGGAGTTTGAGGTTGTAGGGAGCTATGCTTACAATACTGCACTCCAGCCTGGGTAACAGAGCAAGACCGCAAGACCATGTCTCTTAAAAAAAATAAAAAATATTGGCTGGACGTGGTGGCTCATGCCTGTCATCCCAGCACTTTGGGAGGCCGAGGTGCGCGGATTGGTCAGGAAATTGATACCATCCTGGCCAACAAAGTGAAACCTCTTCTACTAAAATACAAAAATATTAGACGGGCATGGTGGCATTAGGCGGCACTCCCAGGTACTGGGAAGCTGAGGCAGGGGAATTGCTTGAACCCGGGAGGCGGAAGTTGCAGTGAGTCAAGATTGCACCACTGCACTCCAGCTTGGACTGGGCAACAGAGTGAAACTACGCCTAAAAAAAAAAAAAATCAATGATCTGGCAAATCTATAGGTTTCATTTCTTTTGATCACAAGTCACAACTCACTTAGAACGCCTCAGAAATCGGTGTTTCTTCCTGACTGAGGAGTCCCATGGAGATAAGTTTGGCACTTTGGCATAACCATTTTAAATGTTGTTTGTTTCTGGTATGACTTTCCTTATGTCTTATTTTTTCTGTTCTGTGTCCTTTTCCTAACTCGCTTTTTCCTTATCATAAGCAGGAGAAACTCTTTCATAGTTTCATCTGTATGAACAGATAGAGGTCTTCCTACTGTCTCTCTCTAATGAAAATCTTTAGAGAACTATGGAGAGCAAGATCTTTCCAAGCTCGTTTCATCCATCTCTCAATAACCACATCCGGTTCTGTCTTGCTGAACTCTGAAGCTTCCTATTGTTTTAAGCAGTTTCTTCCATTTTTAACTCCTATTACAGCTGGTTTTCCTGGTGATCACAGATTCAGATCACATAATTTTTTTTTTTTGGCCACAGATATAAGTTAGAAATGTGTTGCCATACCTGTTTGTAGGCATAGATTCATGTACTATTATTGTCATAAGGTCATTAGGGACCAATGAACCCCTGCCTCTCTTCCTTGCATTTTAAGACAGGTGATTTATAATACTGCTGGTAGTATGTGAGGCAGTATTTTATGATAGAAAATCTGTATACCAGAGAAAGGAGAAGTCTGAGTCCTGTTACTAAATTGATCTTTAAGATTTTGAACCTCAATGTTTATATTTCTGTGAATTTTGGATTATGTTATCTCTAATTTAAATTTGTATTTGGCAATTATATTATTAATATGATAATATTAATAAGTGTTAATAAGGGACATCAGATGTCTTATTCACTTTTGTTTCTTGATCACTTAGTGTATTGCCTGGCACCCGATTGAAAACCAAATGTTTGCTGAATTAATGAATAAGTGAATTAATATGTATGCAATAGCATGTAAGTGCCAAGGACAGCTAAATATTTAGTGAGCAAAGCAAGTTACAAAATGGCATTTATGTATGAGCCTCCTTGGGGATAAAATGAACTAAACAGATAAACATTAACATACATATGGAAACTAATGAATAAATGCATTAAAAACTTTGACAGTAGATTTGCAGGCTACTCTTGCTGCAGGACAAGCCTCTGGCAGAACCCCTCAGACACTGGAGAGAGGAAGGAAGAGGCTTTTATTCAGCTAGCTGTGGAGCATCGGTTGGCTCGTGTTTAGGAAAAAGCCAAGCTTCCCAAAAAGCAGTTTATTTCCCTTTTTAAAGACATACAACCCAAGGGGGAGCAGAGGTAAAACTGTGCCATTGCCCATTGGCTGGACATCTGACCTTACAGTCTTTGGCTTTCATTAATTTCCTAATTTACACGCGCAGTGCATGAGAGGGGAAGAGTTACAGAAGTTGAACAAAGACAGTAAATCACTTAGTAATAGACGGGATGGGTCCAGTTGGTGCAGACAGGGAGTACTGACTCAGGGAACGTCCTTGGGCAGTAAAAAAAAAAACATTTGCAACATTTTCAAGGCTAGCAGATAAGATACGCACCAGTTACAGAGAGCGGGATTGTTTCTCAGTCCTTGGGCCCTGCTGTGATCAAGCCGGTGGGTCAACATCTCGTCTGACTAGTGACTTCAATTTTATGCCATTTTATCTCCCCTCCCCGCTTTTCTAACAGAGGACAGGCAAGGGAGAGAGATGGTCTCCTCTCTCTCATTATCTATGTTATATATTTATGTAATTTTTTATTTTAACTTATTTTTATAATATCATATAATATATATTTACATTGTATTATAATATTTTCTTTATTTTTATAATTTTGTAGGTTTTATCCAGTCTTTGAAAAGTATCCTTGTTAATCCCCGATACATTTTACTCATCCTTTCTATATTGTTACACTTAAGCAGCCTTTTTGGCAATTTTAATTATATATTGAAGTACGAAGAGCAACAGTATGGTCGGACTGCATCTCAGGGTAACCTTTTGTTGGGTAAGACATATTTTTTACTTGCTTGCTTGATAAGAGATATAAGTAGTTGTATTCCAAGTGGCATCTTATTGTGAAGGCAATTTCATATTTTAATAAATATAATTTCCTCTTATTTTCTCTTTAATTTTATCATATTTTTCAATTTTCTGGTATCATTATTGCTCTGTACTTGAAATTGAAGCTCATGTTAGATGAGTTTCTAACGAAAAAGTTACATGGAAAGAAAATGATTAAATATGATATCTGCATAATTGGATCTTACAGTTTAATGCTGAGATCCTGAGACAAATCCTTTTGTAATACAATCATTATAGTCATATAATTCATGGAGTTTGAAATCAGGACATAGCTACTTACAAATTATATGACATCAATGTTTCCAACAGGAAAATCAATTTACATATGTAATGTAAATATGTGTAATACAAAGCAGATATCATATTTTAGAGTATTTTTTCCTACAAAATTTAATTTTAATGGCATATTGAGACCTCCTTGTGAAGAAGAGTTTGCCTTTATTATTGTTCCCATAATTCCAGTATTGTAGAAATATTGTAGAAATTTGATAAATATTTGATGAACTAAACAATCTATCAAGAGGCATGTGACTAGTTCGTATTTAAACAAGAAAAAATTAATGAGAAAATGAATGTACTGAAGCACTGGACCAGGCTGCTATATGATCTTCTTGTTGAATTTAAGACAAAAGTTTAAACTTTAAGGGTTAAGTTTAGACTCCGTATAACCAAGACTGATTTTTTTAGAAGAGTCTTGATCTTTAACAACTTTTATGAGACAATGAGATAGAAAAGTTTAAGAAGGATTAAACATCTCTAATACTGTATATAGATGTGTTTATTATCTCAGGGTCTACGTGTGTTCTAATTAATAATGAAGAGATTCTAATTCAAGTATGCAATTCTAAAGACCTAGGCAAATGTGGAATGAGTTATTGAAGGTTAGAAGTCTCTTTCGAAAGATACAAAGAATGTTAAATGGTAGAATATAAACTCATAGGCAGAAACATAGTGTTTTCTTATTGTTATTTTCTAGAAAAAAGTAAAAGGGCCTTATAGAAACCATCTGTTCAGACACATAAATATTCTTAGCCATTGTCTTTTGCTATTGAGGAAACCAAACCCTCACCATTTGCAGAAAGAAATTATTTTTGTCTCATATGATACACTGGTCCCCTACTTCCATCTTGTTCTGCCACCCTTCTCTCTAAAAAGTATACTAATAATATTGGATAAATTTGGTTGAAATATACTGTGTTTCATATAAACACGTATCAGAAAAACCATATTAATATAGTTACACCTTTTTTCTTTTATTTTATTTCTAGGACTCACAACCATACCTTGTATGGCAATGGGAATGTATGTAGGAGGATATGTCATTAAAAAATTTCAATTGACCTTATCTGGAATTGCCAAATTTTCATTTTTTTCTGCTACAATATCCTTTTTCTTTCAACTGTCACATTTTGCTCTAATGTGTGAAAACAAATCAGTTGCTGGCCTAACTGTGAGCTACGACGGGTTTGTATATAAAACTGTATCAATTGCATACTATGCTAATCATCCAATTAAAAGACTCTGCAAATAAGGCAGAAAACAATTTTATCTAAACTTTCTTTTTTATTTGAAAGAAATTCCAGTTTTAAAATTTTTAACATGTCTGTATCTTAAGACCTCAAAAATTTATTCTTTTATTTACAACATAGGCTGGAATAGTCATAACTATCATTTATAATGTACTTACAATGAGTTATGGGTACCATTATCCCCATTTTATGAATGGGGAAAGTAAGGCTTAGAGAAATACACAGATTACATGGCTAGCAATGTTAAGATTCTGACACAAACTTGGTTTTCTTCACTTTAAAACTCTTAGCCTTAACCACTATAATCTTAAATGAAACATAAGAGTCACATAAATGACAGTCTCTAAAAGTGACTGAACAACTTTTATCTACGGTTTATTTTGATGTTTAACAACTCTTTATAAAATAACACTTTTTACATTTTTCTTAACTCTCCTTTTCTGCGTGCTCATAGTGTTTCTTCTTATATTTTCTACAATGGAAGTAGAATTAAGTAATGTTTTATATATAATTGAATATTAGACCTTGAAGAATATTTACTTTTCCATCATTATTATATACTGTGAAGTATTTTTAGTACAGCAATCTCTACCCCAATCAAGAGCAAGATTCCTATGCAGATTTCTAATCATCTCCTGAATATAACCAATAATTTAAGCTTAGGAAGGTTCACCTTCAAACAACAGGCAAAGATCCTCTGATGAAACTTCAGTAACCATGTTCTTTAGTGCTACTTACTGTTGGCTCTGAGCTTTCAAACTCTGGATGCTATGAGTTGTTAATTTTACATTGTCCAATCTTTCTGCATCATCTTATTCTTGAAAGCTTGCCAAACTAATCTTGAATTATTTCCCTGCATGATCCTAATCCTGAATTGTTGTTGATGTTTCCTATCCACCTACTTTAGTAAATCAAAACACATTGTACCTAGAACACTAAATTTTGGAGGTAAAAGAACCTTAGAGATGACACAGGTCAACCCTCACATATCCCTTCCTTTATTATTTGACACCGAAGAAACTGTAACTTGCTTAAAGTCATACAATGATCTCAGGCTGATTCTATAACACACAGTTAGTTCCAAAAGCTTCCTGGTTATTGGGGCAGGCTTTAGCCTGCATCCAGTTTCCTGAAAACAAGTTTAATTACTGTACCTTCTGTTCAAAAGACAGCAGAAAGCGTTGTATGAGATTTGTTTCATTTAATTAAATTATCTTGATTCTCTCATTAAAGGTAAATATCTGTAGGATACATCAATTCCCTCATGGACTCATAATCTAATGATAGCAAATAATCAATGCATTAAAAATTTATGAAATCCTATTCACTAGGATACATTTTTAAAGTATGAATGAGACCTTTGCACTGAGGTCTCAGAATGTGTCCTGATGCTCTTTAGGGGTTCCTGAGATTTTATCCAGGGGTCCACAGATTCTAACCTATTTTTATAATACTAAGGCATGATTTGCCTTTTTTATTCTCATTATGTCATGAGAGTATAGTGATATTTTCTAAGTCAACAGATACATGATAATGCCATCAGTGTGATGGCTAATTATGTGTGTGCTTGTGAATTTTTGTGTATTAACAATTTCTTAATAAAATTTCTAATAGAGTATACATCAGTAGATATAAATCATTTAAACAAAAAATCTTTTGTGGCCCTCAATACATTTTAAGAGAGCAAAAAAACACCTGAAAACAAAAAGTTTGATGACTGCTGAAATTTTTCTTTAATTCTTATGAGGTTAACATTATTTTATATAACTTACAAATGGCAAAACTTATTTTCAAAAGAGTAGTCACATTGCTAGGATGTGACAAACTAATATGAAGACAGCAGTGACTGATTGCAATGTTTTCACTGGATCATTGTCTTAGTTCGTTTGGTTATCTAAAACAAAATTCTAGGTAGCTTATAAATATACAGCAATGTATTTCTTACAATTCTGGAACCTGGAACGTCCAAGACCAAGGTGCTAGAAGGTTTGGCATCTGGAGAAGGCCCATTCTCTAGTTCATAGATGGTATCTTCTCTCTATGTCCAGACCTGGTGAAGGATGAAGACAAGGAGTCAGTAATTCCACCCATAGGTGTCCATCCTCATACATAACCTTCTACAAGCACCACCACCTAATACCATCAAGTAGAAGACTAGATTACAATATATGCATTTAGAGGCCATAAGCATTCAGACAACAACAGTAATAAACCACTACACTCCCAGTAGTATGCCCTCAAACTGAATAAGGTATTAGATGATTTTTAATAAAACTATTAATAATGTAATTTCTGAACTATAAATCTGCTTTTTTCATTTATTTCAATTACTTGCTTATTCAAATATAGCACATTATACTCAATTATTATCAATTGTTAAGAAAAGCAAAATTGTAACTTTTTAAATCTTTAAGCAATTATGTAACATATTTTATAATTTTAGTCATTATGAAATAGTATTTTATAATTTATAACCATATTAAAAACTAAATAAATGTAAAACATGTTGCAGCTTTATTTTAAAAATATACAGAGCTTTTCCAGCCTTTTACAAGTAATTCTATATTTTTTGATCTTTTATTCCTCTGTGCTTTAATCACTTTGAATTGGTTAAATAAAAGTTTTTTAATTCAACTCCAATAAAAATTATTAACACTCTCACAGAACTTTACAGTGAGCTTGGAGGAACCTCAGTCTAATGCCATTACCTTACTGAGTAGAAACTGAGTCTTGGAAAAACAAAGTTACTTTTCTACTATAAAATTTTTCATAAAATCATAAAGACCTCTTGTCTAAGTCTTTGATTTATTTCCTAAGTTTTACTTTTTCTAGGTCATAAGTCATGTTTTAGTAAAGAGAATTAAAAGTAAATAAATATTTTAAAATTTGCCATTTTGGCATCATCAAATCAAATTTCTCTTTCTAATTAAAGAACAAGTCTTTTTTTAGTCTCTTTTTTCCTCTTCTCTTCCCTCCTCCATTTCCAGTCTCCCTCTTCTCCTCCTTCTTTACTTCCTTTTTTTCTTTTTCTCTGTTTTTGATATATGTCTATCATATATTTCCAGAAATAATCCGGGAGCATCTCATTTAGAAGTACCACTTTCTTATTGCAACTCAGAATGCAATTGTGATGAAAGTCAGTGGGAACCAGTCTGTGGGAACAATGGAATAACTTACCAGTCACCTTGTTTAGCAGGATGTAAATCTTCAAGTGGTAATAAAAACCCTATAGTGAGTATTAGTTTCTGCTTTTTCTCCTCTGCTTAATCAAAACTCATAGATTTGATTTAATAATTACTTATAAAATTGTTCTATAACTAGGTCGCCTACAAAAAGATAAAAGAAAAAGATTCCAATATTATCTGTCAATTTGATGGTTATCATGCTGTATAAACAAAACTTCATATAAAATTCTGTTTAGGACACAGATTTTTTTGTTATTTGAATTCTAATTTGAGATTATTCTACTTTTTTTCTTGAGATTATAAGAATATGTTCTGTTAGAATTTGAATGCATTTAGGATCACTAACAAGTATCCGATTTTACTAAAGAATATGATTTTGATTAATTTTGAATTACTTTATTGTTTGGAAGTTGGGGGAAAGTCCTGGGTCAACCTATTGTCAGCACTATCTACTTTACTAGGACAACAATCTATATACAGACTGATGAGTTTAACTAGGGCTGTGGCTTTTGAATTTCCAAGAAATTAAAGTTTCATGCTCACTTGATTTCCTCATTTGATTTTCCCACAGCTGACACTTCTCTTACCCAGGATAATTTACTATCCTGCTCAACTCTTCCCAACACATCCCATAAAAATGCCATTTCTTTCCTCACTTAAAAGCTTTCTTTACATTCTTTACATTGGGCAAATGTCTGGTTTTCCCCCAATATCCTGGCTAATTGTAAACAGTTAGGAGTGAGGTATAATGTTTCCCATACCACCGATTACCTCAACATTTTGCAAAGTTGGTTAGCTATTTCCCGGGCCCTTTTACTAATACCAACACTGGCAATATAGTCAGGTATGATTATAGCTCTCTGCCAGACATTTCTGTGTTTGATTTTCAAAAGTTTTCCATCTTTCTCTTGCCTTTTGTTCTACCAATTGTATTATGGAAAGACATGAAGAATAAAGCACCCTAGGATCTTTGAAGATAGGCCACAACTTTCATATGTTTACACAAAATGGCCCAATCAAAGACTTTACTGAAAAGCCCACTCTCACATTCATGGCTATAGTGTCTTTCAGGAAGGGTGCCCCATTTAATCCATAGTTTCACTTTGCCTGCTAGTGAAAGGCCAGAAAGAGACATGGTATTAGAATACTGAAGAGTACTATCTCTGTCATGAAGATATTATCTTGGCAATGATTATACACCATCTGGGGGCTACTGCAAAGTTCTTTTACTAAATTCTTAGTGATAAAACATCACTTCTTAAAATAATGTTCTCTGTCTCAAAATTTGGTTTTATTGGGCAATATGCTTGTTCCGTAAAAGACTCCTGAAATTATTCCTAGTCAAAAAAAATTTAAAAAGTTAAAAAAAAGTAAGCTTAGTAGAACCATACAGTTTTAAATTATTTTACAATTTCTCCTTCAGTAATTAGTCTTCAGCACTTATAGGTTCAAGGTGAACTTTCCTTAAACTGGTTTAGCCTAGAATCAGACAGAATTTATTAAAGCCACTTACCTAGAAACACTGCCCAGTTAAATCTCTCAAATCATTTGTTGCTAAGTTTTCCTCTTCTGTGTTCTAACCATGAGTCAGAGCATTCTATTGTGTTGAACCTCTCCTGTAAAAACATCATTACTTTTATCTCATTACAGTCCTGGATGTTGTTTACCTATTAAAATAGAATTCCAGTAGCTCTACCTAGCTTTATCACCTCTGGACTCTGCCCCATTCTTGAGGGTGGCCCAGGTTCCAGATTTTGATCCCCGCTAAACTGCTATAATTTCTAGATTCTTTGAATAATCCTTCCTCAGGGCATGTCCCTGATACTTAATAGAGACTGCTAAAAAAGAAAAAGTGTATTGAGAAGTAAAAGAGGGTGAAAAAAATATTTAAAACAATTTATGTTAACGAAAAATAGAGAGTTTCAGACACTAATTCCTTCAATTTGGTAATTTTTAAATAAAGGATGAATTGGATGTTAATAATGAATTAAACTTTCTTGTATATAAAGGAATCTAGGAAAATATTTTGCTCTTCATCTATTAACTGTATTTTTAGAATTTTTGACTCTAAATACTTTAGTTTTAATGAATGTGAATTTTTAAAAATATAATGGGATATATTTATAGTCCCATTGTGTCTGAAAATGCATTTCAAATTAGCACTGAAGTGTAATAATTCCAAAACTATTGTTTTAGGTGTTTTATGACTGTCCTTGTGTGGAGGTACCTGGTCTCAGGAGCAGAAATTACTCGGCCTCTTTGGGTGAATGCCCAAGAAGTGATGCTTGTGCAAGGAAATTTTACATTTATATTATAATGCAAGCTTTGATTTACTTTTTCTTTGGACTTGGAGGCCCCTCGAATATTATTCTGACTGTTAGGTAAGACTTTTGAAAACATTTTCATATATAGCCAACTACAAACACACCTAATGATATACATATTCTTCCACAATAACTGACAACTCAAATTTATATTTTGTTACATTTTAACTTTCTGAGAATGAGGTTTTTTTTTTTTTCCTATGACTGTGGTCCTTCAATGCCATAATTAATAATTTTGCTTCTGGATTCCATATTTTCTTTACTTACTAAGAATTTAAGATACAGACTGATGATTGCCTCAATTGTAGAAGAAGCTTTGTATGATTCTAAAAGAACATTTAATTTTTAGTTATTTTCCATCCTAATAAAGCAGTCATGGTAAATCATCTATTGATCTCATTAGAATAAAATATTTGGGAACTGTAAATGTAATCTTTAGTCTATAATGAAATTTCAAAACTTTTAATCCACCTACAGCATGGCTTTTGACCTAGTCTCTGGTAATTCTCCTACAGACTAAAAAAAAAAATACATGAAAATAATTTATTCCTGTCTTTATTCATTAGATACATATTTAGATAAGATATCATGCTTAATGAAGAAGAATTTCTTAGTGAATAAAATGAATTAGGTACTTATTATCATACAGCTTAGAAAATAACAGGAAAGACTGACATAAAACAAATATACTTTAAATCAAACCCAGAATTACAAATTGTTCTCAGTCCTCATGAAGAGAAAATGTGTTACTAAAGGAAATAAAAAGGAAAAGCTAAATTGAGAATGAGGCGAAGGGTTGTACAGGAGAGGACTCAGAGAGTACATCTCAAAAGAAGTGACATTTAATCAAAAGGTCTAAAGAAAAGTTAGCCAAATGAAGGGATTTCAGGGAGAGGGTCCAGGCAGGAAAGAGCTAGTATGTTTGAGAAATAAAAAGGTTCACTGAAACATATTGAGACGAGTGTAGCACAAGATAAGAATGGAGAGTTAGGGAGAAATGCATGCCCTAGTGACCAAGTTGATCATTCAATCACCTAAAAACTAGAAACATATAAAAACGTGCATGTATATCTTCAAAAAAGTACATGAATAAGTGTGTTGACCTGGCTTAATGTCTAATTATTACTTTTAAAACCAACATAGTTGATCACATGTTCACTGTCAGCTAACAGCATGACATCATAGGGGGAAAAAAACCAAAAGTGTTTTAACTTTTGTTAAAATGTATATAGACTTGTAAACTGAGTTTACAGTTGTTTAAATTTAACTCTGCCCTCAGATCTTATCAAATTACTCATACTAATCTATTTTACAGATATAACTTCACCTACATATAAAATATTGTCTACTCAAAAGGAGAATGTTTTATATTTGCCAAATTACAGATTTATTAACTTACAGAAAATCACCTCAAAACTCTTTACTAATTTGCATCTCACCAGGTTTTAGGATCTTAATTTATACTATTTCATGGGACAAAAAGCGTTTAAAAAAAACGCTTGTGTATGTTCATTGCAGCACTATTCACAATAACAAAGACATGAAATCAACCTAAATGCCCATCTAGGGTAGAGTAGGTAAAGAAAATGTAGTACATATACACCATGGAATACTATTAAGCTTTAAAAAAGAATGACATTATGCCCTTTACAGGAAAATGGATGGAGCTGGAGGTCATTATCCTTAGCGAATTAATGCAGGAACAAAAAAACAAATACTGCATATTCTGTTTATAAGCAGGACCTAATAATGAGAACACATAGACACATAAGAAGGAGACAAAAGACATCGGGGCCTATCAGAGGGTGGAGGTTGAGAGGAAGGAGAAGATCAGGAAAAATAACAAATGGGTAGTAGGCTTAATATCTAGGTGATGAAATATTCTATACAACAAACACCAATGACGCAAATTTACCTATATAACAAACTTGCACATATACCTCTGAACTTAAAATAAAAGTTAAAAATATATATATTGGCAAGAAAAAAATATAAAAAAGAAAAAACACTGTTTCATTATTTATAATAGCTATATTTTATTTTTTAAGAAAGTAATTAAATCATTGTCACTTCTCAAAAACATTAATTATTAATCTCTCAACAGCCTTTGATTTTATTGAAAGAAAATTTATGAAACTGACTATAGACAAAAATATAAACTTTGGTCTACTTATGATTTTAATAAGTAGACCAAATTTAATAATAACAAACACTGTTAAGTCATTGTTAAAACAAGGCTACATAGGAGGGAAGACATTTCCTTATTATATATTCATACGTGTCAGGTACAGTTCTATGTACTGAGGATGCCCCTGTGAAAAAAGGTGATAGAACTTCACTAGCTTCCCTGTGGGGATAGGGAATGGGGGAGTGGATGGGTGTAGGAGAACCAACAAAGAAGCAAGTAAATATATAAAATAAGTAATTGTGAAACACTAGAAAAAAATAAATTACAGTAAGAAAAGAAAAAAGTGGGATAGGTAAGAGACACTAGTTCAGATATTGTACATTGGAAGTCCTTTGATGAAGACATGAAGAGTGAAGGGACAAACCATGCTAAATAAGGACAGGGAAGAACAATCTAGTTAAGACAGGGCAAAGACAAAAGCCCTGGTGTAGAGCATACTCCACATGTATAATACAAGGTCAGAAAAAAGTGTATGAGGAAGAGAGAGAGAGAAAATGTACAGCGAGAGAGCTGGAATGGTCCAGATCATATGGGTCACAGGAAAGACACTGGAGTTTATTCTAAATGTGTTGAGAAGCCCCAGGGGCATTAAGCATTAGCAATGCATAGCTGACTTACCTAACTAGATCCCTCTGACTGTGCATGGAGTATGTTCTGGGAAGATAATGAAATCAGAAAAAACAGAGGCTTTGATTCTTTTTCACAATATGAGGGCTTGAATGAGGATGCAGTGTTAGAATGTAAAGTGATTTGGGTTCCGGTCTTCATTTTATTTTGTTTTTTAATGTAAAGCCAATAAGATTTGCTGATAGGTTGAATGTAGCATTTGAAAAAGAGAAAAGATGATCCCAGGGTTCTGGCTGTATTCTGGAAGGATGGTGGTACTATTGAACAAAACGGGAAACACTAAGGAAGAATAGGTTGCAGCAAGTGGAGAAGCAAGAATTTGTCCTATCTCCAAAAATCTGAGCTGTCTTCTGGATACCTAACAACAATGCCACATATGCAATCCAACATTCAGGAGAAAGTTTGAAGCCACAAACATGCATTTCAGACTGAGAAATATACAGATGGTGTTTACATCCATGGAATTAATGAGATCTTCTAGGGACAGAGTACAGCCAGAAACAAGATCCTAGGACCAAGAGTCAGCCACTCTAAGTTTAGAGATCAATAGTATAAGGAAAAATCAATGAAGAAAACTGCAAAGGAGTTCCTATGGGAAAAACTAGGAATGGGGAGTGTCCCCAAAGCCTAATTAACCATATATCAAGAAGGAAGGAGAAGCAATTGCTTCAAGGGTTGCTGAGAGCTTACAGGAGTTAGAGACTAGAAAGTGACCATTGGGTGTCATTATGTGCTGGTCACTTAACCTAAACAAAAGTAGTGCGTGAAGATGAGAGATGGGAAAAAGGCTGTTTAGTAAGGAATCGAGAAAATGCAAGAAGGGAAAGTGCAAACAGCCAGTATGGAAAATTCTTTTCAGGAAAAGTGTTATGAAAAGAAGCAGAGAAATGGTATGGTAGCTGGAAGGGTTGTGGCATCAAAAGTTATGTTTATATCTAATTCTAGATATAATAGCATGCTTGCATACTGATAAGATTTATCAGGTAGAGAAAAAGGCACTTGTTAACCCAGGAGAGAAGTGGAGCAATTAAAGAAGAAGATGCAGAGAGATTTAAACAAGGACAGTCAGTTTTATACTCTGTAGTAGAAGGGAAGGTTTTCTGTGTGGGTAAAAGGCAAGTAAATGTGTAGCAGTAGTGGTGCAAGAGTATTTAAATTATTTTCTAATTGCTTGTATTTTCTCTATTAAATAAAAAGCATGATAATCAGCTGCGAATAGGGCAGAAGAAAAGAAAGAGGTGGGATGAGATCAGGACACATGAACTAGCAATCTTGAAGACTGGAAGAATATAATGACTGGGAAAATGTACCAGTAAACTACGTATTGCGGAATTGCCCTGGAGCCCCCCTGAATGTTCATGCTTAGAACTTAAAGGGAGTCCTGTCAGCATGCTTGAATTATTTTCTCCTGCAATCTAGCTCTTTGTATATAGGTACAGAAGAAGCAGAGGGTTAGAGGAAAGCCTTTTTGTTTGTTTAGAACAATAAAGGATGAAACGGGAAAAAAGCACTGGATATATTCAGGAGAGTGGCTATAATGAGAGATCACATTGAGAAAGGAAGTGGAGGGGTGAAACTACAGATAGCCTGTGAATAGTCTGAGGAATCAAGGGCCTGAAGAGCTATATGGGGCTGAGGATTGTTGCAGCAGGTGTATTAAAGGGAGTAAATTTTAAAGTTAGGAGGTGGTTGTAAGGACAGTGACGCTCAAAATGTAGAATTTCAAGTGTGTTCTGATGGGCTGACTATGGGTGGAACAGGTAAGATTTCCAGAGAAGAGGTCAAGACACTGGAAGGCCAGAGCATTGGGAGAATGATCTGCATGGATATTGAAACAATTACAAAAAGTGGCGGAAATTTTGACAAAAATGATAGAGACCTTCTAATAAAAATCGTCAGAGATTGGTGGGAGTGGTGATGTGCCTATCCATAGTTATGTTCAACAGAAAGGTTAGAGTATGGTATATTAGGGTGGTGCACCTCTTCCGGGAATCTAGAGGTCTTTTCAGAGGAGGGACTCAGGTATGGAAGTGGTAAAAAATGATCAAGAAGGACAACTACATTTCAGGCCCAGTAATACACAGGATATAGGAAGAAAACAGACCTCACTTGAGATAGTTGCACGGAAAGAGAGTCATTGGGAGATAGGCTTTGTTTACAGCAAAAACATGAAAAGATTGTAAAGAATATAAATGTAAAGATTTTGCTGGTAACAGACATGAGTTTCCTTAAGCAAAATAGAAGGCTTAAGTGACATGAAAGAAGTGGAGGAGTGAGTGGAATTAAGGGATATACTAAACCACCTGGGATGACACCTTGGTATCCGCAGCTGTCTCAAAATCTTGGGATCTTGCTGTTTACAGAGGTGTGGGTATCATGTAAGCTTATGACTAACAAAATGTTAATCTTAAATGGCCCTAAAGAGGGCAGTGTTTTAAAACTTTTTAAAAATTTACATTTCAATGATCTGGCTTAGCTATGGAATGACTTAGAGCTTTTCTTCCATCTTTTGCAAACAATAAGAAAAGCATTCTGTATCTCTATTGCCTATTGATAGGCTTTTATTAGGTCTAACTGGGAATGTCTCAAGAAACAGCAGGTTCTGATGAGTTATTGTCATTAATGATGATAACAGAGAATCCATTTAAATTACATCTGTTGTATTAAGAATATATTTTTCAATAATTAAATGAAATAGCTTATTTAGCTTCACAGAGTGCTTTAGTGATGAATTCAGCCTGTGAGAGGCCTATCAAAATACAGAGCTGCTCAATATCACATGTAAAGCAGGAGTCACATAACAATGATAAATATCTTACATTATAATGATACATGGGTGTGTGCATGTGAGTGAGCAGGTGAGTATGAGCATGCGGGGAGTAGTGTAAGTGTGCATGCATGTGAATGCAGAAGGGAGTGTGTGTGATTGTTGTTGTACATGTATGTTACTATATCACACGCATCCATCATTTCCACTGAATTGTTGAAGAATTTAAGCCAACTTTTAGGAAAATATTATCTCTATCTGCAAGTCCCCCAAATTCTTCTGCATGATAATCTTTTCCCTGGGCAAAATTCAAGTTGACAACAAATGTCAGCTTGCCTGTTTTGTGTGTAGTATGCAGACAGGGTACAGCCACCACTGAAAATCAATTACAATGAAATATACATGTCAGTCACTTGTCAGAGAACAGAACCAGGAATGAACTGAAATCTCTCCCTTCCCAAAATCTCCCTTGAGAGAGACCTCAATAGATAAGGTAACTTATTCCTGATAATTTCCTCATAACAATCTCCCTATGAAAGAAACTTCCTTAAATAGTAGGCATGGCTTCACTGTCTTCATTGCCCTCAACGGGGCTAGCAAAGTGTTGCTGTCCTGTGCAAAAGCAGAGCTAAAATACTTTCCTTTTTATTTATTTATTTATTTTTGTCTCCTAATAAATAACTATATGTTTAACTTTTATTATGTTTAACTTAATGTTTGCTCCTTTTAATATTATAAGTGCTTTTGAAAGCTTTTGGGAACCTTAATAAATGGTAGCTCTTCTACGAGATTTAAGGGGAAATTACATGTAAATAAAATTGACGTTTACAGTGTTAGCTCATCATGTTAATTTTTCATAACTTTCAATACTAATCTCATACATATGAGATAAGTATTATTATCCTCACTTAGCAAACAAGGAAACTGAGGCTAAGAAAGGTTAAATCACTTACTTCTAGTCACTCAGTTGAGAGGAAGTATCATTTATCTCTTTATGCTGAAGAACATGACTAGCATAGCGTCTCCTAGGAGGTGCTTAGTAACTGTTGAATGATTACAGCTAATTAGTTCTGAAAATAAAATAGTCATCTAGTTTTATTTCATCAGTTAATATTGAATTAACTGATGAAAAGATGTTTTCAGGGGAAAAACATCTTTTCATCAATTAATTCAATATTTCAGTAAAAATGGAATTTTGAATCTTGGTCACTCTCCCTACCCCAAACCATCCCCTCCACTACTGCACTATTATTTCATTTCACTTGGTAGGTGTTATGTTATCATGGCGATGGTAGCAACATTCATTGAACACGGAAAAACAAAATAGTGGAAATAGCTTTCTAAATGCAGGAGTAAGTGAATTTCTAAGCAAGAATATAAATGTGTTCCTGGCCTGTCGCAGTGGCTCACGCCTGTAATCCCAGCACTTTGGGAAGCTGAGGTGGGTGGATCACCTGAGGTCAGGAGTTCGAGACCAGCCTGGCTAACATGGTGAAACCCCATTTCTACTAAAAATACAAAAAATTAGCTGGATGTGGTGGCATGCATCTGTAATCCCAGTTACTCAGGAGACTGAAGCAGGAGAATTGCTTGAATCCAGCAGGCAGAGGTTGCAGTGAGCCGAGATTGAACCATTGCGCTCCAGCTTAGGCAACAAGAGCAAAACTCCATCTCAAAAAATAAAATAAAATAAAATAAAATAAAATAAAAGTGTTCCTTACTTTTAAGATGGCAGTGATACATTAGACACTAGAATACAGAAAACATGTTTGACTCCTCTGGATATATTGTGTTATTTATGAATCATATTAGCAAGCTTTTTCATTAACATTGATAACAGAAATAAGGTGGTAAAAAGAGGTCTGCTAAGATCTATCCTCAGAACAAATATCTGATCTTTTCATATGAGCTATAAGGACTGATAGCTATCAGAGTATAAGATATGAGCTATCAGGACTGAATAAACCACACAAAATCAGTTAATTTAATGGACATAGAAAACCTGTTCTAAACTTTCTCATAGGATTTTCATAAGGACCAAATGTGAAAATATTCATTAAACTGTCTTGAGATCATTATGCGTTCAACAAAGAAGGAAGTAATAATTATTATTTATCATTCTAGTGTCTGCCTTTTAAAACAACTGATAATATAACTTTAAATAATGTGGGCCATTCACTTGAGGGATTTTATTCTATCATGAAGAAAAATGATACTGAGAAATGTTTTGATGCTTAGTTTAATATTTTAATAATGTTTAATGTTTCTTTGCCTTTATTTTATTTCAGGCTTGTTCAACCTGAATTGAAATCACTTGCAGTGGGTTTCCATGCAATGTTGTTACGATCAGTAGGTATGATGAATACATAGACCATAAATTTGAGATATAAATATTCTTCTCAAAGATTAAAGACTAAATGTAATTAATTTTCAATTATGAGAAAGTTAAAGGAATAAGTAAGATTCATTATTTTTTGCGATCTATGAAAATAAGAAGAGACAGGAAAATTGTGACTTAAAATAGTATTTTAACTGTTAATTCTACTTCAAGCCTATCTGTTTAGACTGAGGAATTATCTTATTTTTATCACAGTCTCTCTTAATAAAAAACCATCAAAAGACAGGTGGTTCTCCAAGTTTCCTTCTTTCAGAAAGTTACAAATATTTATTCCAGGTAGGTTGAGTGGAGGACCTTCCTTCTAAACTGAAACATTATTTAGGGAAGGCCTAAAGCAGCTTGGGAGGCCTGGGAATCTGGCCAGGCTGAGGTTGTACCAAACAACAGGAGCTGACATTAACTGTGCCACTTTACACTGCCTGGTCCTGTAAGGCTGGGCAGCTAAGCTTTAGCAGCAGTTAATGCAAAAGGAAATGAGAACTCAGACTCTAAAACTGGTGATTTTTGATTAAAAGAGCATTCTGAATAAAGGAAAGCTAAAGAATCGTGTTTCCGTTGGCAAAGAGTAAGAATGTAGACTCTAAAGGCTAAAGGTTTATTTGTAAATATTTAAAAGTGATGAGAAAAATGTTTAGGCTATTACTACCTTCCTTGCCGTTTACCATTTTTAGCACACTGATGCCTGTTATTGTTAAGCAATATGTAGCCTAATCCTTATGAATCCTCCTTTGTAAGGACTGTAAATCTTATGTGCTTATTCCCAGAAAGTAGGAAAAGGGCATCATTCATCTAGGGATTGGGACTGATCCTGGCAACCTTTGACAGCAGAAGGAAAAGAACATGGGAGGGGTCGATTTCTGGAAACTTCACGAGTAAAGGAAAAAAGTATAACTCTATGGCCAAATTACAGTGGAGAAGTTGTTCAAGTAGCATATTTGATGAGAAGTTCACAAATCCTCAAAGGTTAAAAGAAAAAGAAATATAAAGAAAATAGGCGAGAGGAGATGAAGATGCTGTAGGGGTCCACTGGTTCTCTTCCCAGTATTCCCTTTTCTGTGTCTCTGATCACCAGCCTCTGTATATCCTGGCAGTTCTCTACCTCCAGATTCAATGGAGATACCTCACTCCTAGAAGCTGAGCCACAGAAGCTGAAAATAGAATCTGGGTAGTTAGGAGTCCTTATGATATGTGGAAATGACAGTAGGAGCAATATATTTGGCAATATGAAATAGAAAAAAATGAATTTTGCCATTCAAATTCTGAGCATCCTATTTTGATGTGCTCAGTATATGGCACAACAGACTCTAAATGCTTCTATGGGAAAAATACACACTGAGTACCAAACTTCCAATTCACAAATAATTGTCTTGAATACAATATATTTGTAAATTGTGGAAGGCCTATAATGTATTAAACTCAAAGAGTTATTTATAAAATGGTTTATGAGAAGTTTTTAAATTGCAGTAGTAAATTGTTGGCATATATTTTTCATTTTCTAGAAGACAACTGTGATTTTTGATACCAGCAAATTTCTCACTCATTTTCTTAGTACCAGTTTTCCTCATATTCAATGGCCTCAATTCTTTGTCATTCTAAGATTTCTCATTCTCAGAGTGAGAAAAGTAAAAGTACTGTTAAAAGTACATGGAATTAGTAAAATTGTGATATATGGATCACTATGATTTTTATGTGACAAAATAAAATTATTCATCACAACACAAAAAAAGAACAAAATAAAGTCATGAATATTTCAGTGCTACTATCTGAAGGACAGCTCTTATGTCACTAAAATTTTGATAAGATTACCTATGGTAGGCCAGGTGGGATGGCTTGCACCTGTAATCCCAGCACTTTGGGAGGCCAAAGCGGATGGATCACCTGAGGTCAGGAGTTCAAGACCAGCCTGGCCAACATGGCAAAACCCTGTCTCTACTAAAAATACAAAAATTAGCCAAGCATAATGGCACATTCCTGTAATCCCAGCTACTCGGGAGGCTGAGGCAGGAGAATCACTTGAACCAGGAAATGGAGGTTGCAGTGAGCTGAAATTGCAACACTGCACTCTAGCCTGTGTGATGGAGTGAGACTCCATCTCAGGGAAAAAAAAAATACCTATGCTTAGAACCAGGAGTCAATCTCAGAGTTTATTAAAGTAGTATTAGGAGCAGATGGACACTTCTACCATAAACAACATATGTGTTCCTGAAAAGCCCCACTTGTGCAAAATAATGCACTACAAATAAAAATTGACTAAAAGATTGAACACTGAAAACATATGCATTATTGTGATCAGAACAATGATGAGAACTAACAAATAAAATTTAGCACCATAGTCCCTAACTTGGAAAGCTTTGGTTGCTTCAGCAGTATTTAGAAATCTGCAAAATCAGTAGTGAGAAAATGCTGGATTATAGGCACAAATGACACCAAGAAGGGGGATGTAGAGCTGTGAGCCCAAAAAGAAGTATAACTTGCCAAGAGCTAATCAATCTCTGAATCTGGGCCCGTGCTTCTCTGGGGATGGGGTGCTGGTGGGAGAGCTCATATTTTAATTTTCTTAAAATAGTGTTGAAAAAAGTCTTGCCTTTACAGCCTTTAAGCTGAGAATGTTTTGCTTTTAACATAAAGATATACTTCTCCCCAGTTCCAGCTTTCCTTGCCTAAGTAACATCCCGTATGAAACAATATAACATTCTTGTTTTACTAACAACATTCTTCTTTTAACTAATCAGATTGAAGCTAATTGGTATTGTAAGAAGAACAGGCACACAATGTACAGGCACATAATGCTTCTTCTTCCCTATATGTATAAAGAGGAAAGCATAGATAAAAGATGTCTATAACATTACTATATGATTTGGAACTTTGAGATTCCTTATAATCTTGATTCTTGGGCAGATTTAGGCCAAAACAGTAGAAGAATCCTCCAAAATAACTTTGGAGGATAACTTTTACTTTATCCATTATGAATCAATGTGAAATATTATCCAGACATATTTGAAATATGTTATTGTATTGACATCTTCTCTTCTGTTGCAGGAGGACTTCTAGCTCCAATATATTTTGGTGCTCTGATTGATAGAACATGCATGAAGTGGTCCTCCGATAGCTGTGGGAGACAAGGGTCTTGTAGGATATATAATTCCACATTATTTGGGTAAGTTGTCATAAATATATTTCATTAACTTTTTTCCTTTGCCTTATTAGTTTCTAAGAACATAATTATCAGTATGTAATAATATTAATGATAGACACCATTGAATGAACACTAAATTTTGTATTTAGTATTTTACCAGGCAATCAGGGTATCTCATTTTAATACTCATAGAAAATGTAGGAAATTGATATTGTCTACTTTTTCTGTGTTTTTCTAGAGAAGCCAGAGGCAATTAAATGTGTGTGTGTGTATATATATATGTGTGTACACACATGCATACATGTATATACATATATACACACACACACATTCAATTGCCTCTGACTTCTCTTGAAAAACACAGAATGACCAGCTGGAGCCTGGTCATAAGTCAATGAGGAAAAAAGGGAGAAAATATTTCTACACTCTTCTATTCGTAGGGAAAGATATTCTATAAGTGTCATGAAGATGGATGGTCATCTGGAAAGAAAAAAAGCTGAAATTATACCATCCTCTTAAATAAAGTTGATTCCAAATTTATACATTGACAAAATATATACATTTAAATGTGATGTTATTAGAATAAGTCATAGTAGAATTTCTTCTAATTATCTAGTAAGCAGAAATATGTTTGTAAATATGACCCAAATGCCCAAGGCCATGATAGAAAAAAAATGATAAAATAGTTTTAAAACTCTGCATCTCAAAACTTATTTTGCTTAAAGTTTAAAACCAAAAGATAAAATAGAAGAAGAATTTGTAACTCGTAACAAAGACACAGGCAAATGGCCTAAGTATATACAGAGCCATTAAAAATCAGCAAAAACAACATCAAATGCTAGTAAGTTTACGAAGCAATAGAAATTCTCTGTCATTGCTTGTAGGAATGTGAATGGGATAGTCATATTGAAGACAGACTGGAAGTTTCCTAGAAAGCAAAACATAGTCTTATTATATGATTAAGTAATTGTGTTTCTTGGTATTTACCTACATTATTTGGAAACATGTACACACAAAAACCTGAATTTCTATGAAAAAATGGTAGCAATCAAGATGTTCTTCAGTAGTAATTAATAATCACATCATGGAGAATTTCTCTTTTTATTCTCTTAACAGAGTCTTACTCAGAAAAGTTTTTTATTTTAAGTCCTGCTAATTAATTACTTCTTTCATGAATTGTATCTTTGGTGTTACATCAAAAATGATAACCAAATTCTAGGTCATCTAGATTTTCTCCTATGTTATCTTCCAGAAATTTTACAGTTTTGTGTTATACATTTTGGTTCATGATTCATTTTGAGCTAATTTTTGTGTAAAGGCTGCATCTAGATCCATTCTTTCGGATGTGGATGTTTAGTTGTTACAGCACTAGTTGTTGAAAAGACTATACTTTCTCCATTGAATTGCCTTTGTTCTTTATTAAAGATCAGTTGACTGTAATTAAATGAGTCTACTTCTGGGCTCTCTATTCTGTCCCGTTCATTTGTCCATTATTTCACCAAAATCACATTGCCTTAATTCCTGTAGCTTTTTAGTAAGTCTTGAGGTCAGGTGGTGGCAGTCCTGTTACTTTTTGTTCTATTTAAGTATCGTTCTGGCCTCTTTTGCCTCTTCACATAAGCTTTAAAATTAGTTTGTCAATATCCACAAAATAACTTACTGGGATTTTGATTGGGATTTGGCTTGAATATATAGCTCAAGTTGAGAGGAACTGACGTCTTAATAATATTAAGTCTTCCTATACTGTATATGAACATGATATATCTCTTTATTTAGTTCTTCTTTGATTTCATTCATCAGTTTTGTAGTTATCTGCATATCACTATTATACATACTTTATTAGGTTGATACCCAACCATTTCATTTCTGGGGGTGCCAATGTAAATGATAATGTGCTTTTAATTTCAAATTCCAGTTATTCGTTGCTGATATCTAAGAAAACATTTCACTTTTGTATATTAGCCTTATCTCTTGCAGCCTTGCTATAATTGCTTACTAGTTTTATTTTTTTGGAGCTCTTTGTCTTCTTAAAAATGTTGTGTTCTTAAAAAAATTTTTTTAAATAGCATAGCCAGAATTTTGCATATCAGGTTGAAAAACAGCGGTGAGAAAAGACGTTCTTGCCTTGTTCTCAACATTAGTGGAAAAGCTTTGATTTCCTCACCATTAAGTATGATGTTAGGTGTGGGTTTGTGCCAGACATTTTTTATCAAGTTGAGGAAGTTCTCCTCTTTCTAGTTTAATGAGAGTTTTTATCATAAATGGTGTTTGATTTTGTCAAATGCATTTTCTGAAGCTATTGAGGTAATTCTGTGATTTTGTTCTTCTTTAGCCTGTTAATGAAATAAATTATATAATTGATTTTTGAAAGTTGAAACAGCCTTGCAAACCTAAAATAAAGCCCTCTTGGTTATGGTGTTTAACATCCTTTATACATTGTTAGATTCAATTTGCTATTTTTGATAGTTTCTGCATCTATATTCATGAGAAATATTGAGAAATATTTGTCTGTAGTTTTCTTGTAATGTCATTGTCTGGTATGGGGATTAGGGTAATAATAGCTTTGTAGAATAAGACAAAATATTTCTACTGCTTCTATCCTTTTAAAGAGATTGTAAGGTATTGATATAATTCTTTCTTAAGTGTTTGATAGAGCTCACCAGTGAACCCATCTTGTTTTGGGGCTTTCTTTTTTTTTTTTTTTTTTTTTT